ATGAAAGTGTATGTATATTTTGTCATGATGAATCAGAATGCTTTTTATTTTAAAGTTTTTCTCTAATGTTACCTCTTCAGTCAACTTTCCACAGATCTGACCTACGGTTTGTATGTTTCTCATGTGCAACTTAACATTTTATACATCTATATTTGCACTTATGATATTAAAGTACATGTCTTTGTGGCTGTTTCCCCTACTTAGAAAACTGAGATCACATTTTAATTATTGTTAGATCCTTATAGCACAGCATGATAAAAAACATAAATGGAAAAATGTGATAATCTTATGACCAATGTCCTGAAAAAAATCAGTCTATATAAAAAATAGCAAATATTCAAAGCAGATACAGCTTTGTAATTCTGGAATATCATATGAATATCTTCATATGTAGAAGAGTGCATTTAATTAGTCTATGTCTGCATCAGATTAAGTGGTAACAAATATCAATGTTGTTAGGAGCTGAATGTGTGTTTCTCCAAAATATATATGTTGAACCTCCAACCCCAGGTACCACAGAATATGCTTATATTTAGAAAAGGGCCTTTAAAAGGTAATTAGGTTAAAATGAAGCCTTAGAACGAGCCCTAATCCAATCTGATTAATGTCCTTATAATAAAAAATAGGACACCCGAAGAGACATCAGCACAGATGTGTGGACGTTAAGGAAATATCATGTGAGGACACAGAGTAAAAGTGGTCACCTGACAGCCAAGGCCTCAGAGGAAACCTGCCCCGCTGCTGACACTGGATTTTGGACTTCTAGCCTCCAACACTGTGAGAAAATAAATGTCTGTGTTTAAATCACAGAGTATATGGTATTTTGTTATGACAGCCCTAGCAAACTAATACAAGTCTCCAGAAATAGTAATAAACAATCATGATCATTGGTTTATGTACTGTTTGTAGCAGTTTCCCAGCTCCAAAGGCTGAGCTGTAGTCATGGCAGAGATTGTATATCCTGCAAGTCTCAAATATTTACTAATTTACCCATTGACAGAAAGCATTTGCCAATTCCTGGTTTAGGGATTGGGGAGACACGTACATTAGTAAAGAAAGTATATTGCGTGATGTTATATGTACATATATTGAGATGAAGTTTCCTTCTTTTTGCCCAAGCTTTAGCGCAATGGCGCGATCTTGACTCACTGCAACCTACGCCTCCCAGGTTCAAGCAGTTCTCCTGCCTCAGCCTCGTGTGTAGCTGGGACTACAGGTGCTACACAGGAGGCGGAGACAGGAGCATTATTAGCACCACCACGCCAGGCTAATTTTTTGTATTCTTAGTAGAGATGGGGTTTCACCATGTTAGCCAGGCTGGTCTCCAATTCCTGACCTCAGGTGATCCACCCACCTCAGCCTCCCAAAATCCTGGGATTACAGACGTGAGCCATAGCACTAAGCAAATAATTTTTTAAAAAAATGATTTCAAAAATATTTTGGGTATTAACTAGGGGAACCCCACATAATAGTAACTTTTTTTCTCTCTGTAGCATGAGAGAAAGGAAAAGAAAGTTCTAAATAAATTAGGGTTGCAGAACTTTAGCAGCACATGTGTATGGTAATTTCTTAATCAAAAGTAACTTTACTTGTAATAGCAAAATTATTACGTTTATAATAAAACTATGAAATATTAAAAGGCTAATAAAGTTCCATGACATAGTTTTGATGATGACATATCTGGGATCATTAAGCCATGTTTCATACTGAGGATTTTTTTCACAGAAATACTCAGATAAATCCAAAATAAATATTGTAATAGAAAGCTAAAAATAAGATATGTTAGATAGGTCAGATTAAGTTGTGTTAATTATTGTAAAGAGTTACTTACAGAAGCAGCAGTGACACTTGTGTTGCTACCATCAAGTGCTTCTTATTTTCCCGAGAGTTGGAAGAAGTGTAAAATAATGTCAATGTCAATAAATAAAATCTCAATCCAACTTTTCTGTTGAAATTTGGGGAAAATAACATCTTTCTCATGGGACTACAGTAGATGTAGAGAATTGCAAATGCATAGGCCTTCCAAGAAGAGAAGACTCTCCAAATCCCAACGGAGGGAGGTGCACAATAAAAGGAAGCTTCTTTGACAAAAGTTGTTGGATTTGGTTTCTGCAGCTTTATTCAGAACAAAAACAAATTGTAGCAGTAACCTAGGTCTCCCAGCAACACAGACACACTAGAGAATGAAAGGTTGCATTTCATGAACTCACAAAATGAAGTGTGCTAAGTAGTTGTATTCTTATTCTGGGTAGAAGGTACAAAGGAAACGAATAAAAAGGTGGAGTACCACTGTATTCTTGTGTTCTATGAATGGATGTCCCTACTCTATGCCAGGTGCTGTCAGTGGATCTGAGGTAGAGGGAAGGAGGCAGCATCCTTGTATTCATGTAGGTAATAGATTTATAGAGGCAATATGGTAGCCTAACCAATAAAATTACTAATGTAATCATTTCCTTAAAAATAAAAATTATAAAATTTTAGTTTCATAAAAGTACTCTATGAGATAAATTGTTTAATATTTTTTCAAGATTTATAAGAAAGCAAAAAAGTTCTAACCTGCAGAAACTCTTAAAATACAATTTTTAGAAGAGTCCTAATATCTACTTTTAAATTATCAAGAATATAGCTAGCAAAAAATACTTTAGAGATAGAGAAACGTTAAAATAAAACTACCAAATCACTGATTTAAGCAGTGATTGAGGTTTTAGCATTAATTGTTAGCAGCAGATGTGAGATAGGAGTATCATGCACATCATATTTATTTTTTCTATATAGAAGTAAAATTATAATTTGATAGCAGAACCACATCCAATTTCATATTTCATAATGTGTTCCCTGTAGATCCATCAGCTAGAAGCTACAGTGGGTAAGATATATACATTACACGAAGTGGAAAGTGGGGACTTCAATTATGATTACCTACTTTGGAATGTGGAAATGGTGGTCAGAATGAGCTTCTCACCTTCAATGTCATAAATTCAGGGACTTTATAACTCCTCTGTATATGCAAAGTAAATTATGCTCTAAGACTGAAGTAATTTTCTTCAGATTTCATTCCTTATAATTAAACAAACTGAATATATGTATGGAGAGCTCTTAGGGGAATTTCTGGCTGAGGTGCTGTAGAAGATGCAGAAACTGTACCTTGGCATTCATGGCTGGTGCATGGTTGACAGTGAATCAAAGTTGCTGCAATCTGATATCATGTTCCTGTTTTAATTATGATAATTTGGTACTTAATGGTCATAACGTTTTCACTACTTTCAACTCAGGATATTTGTTTGGTGTTTTCATAGTAAGAATGTCAAATTTACCTAAAAGAGAAGCTAGTCTTATATCCTTAAAACAATTCCTTCAAATAAGATTTAAATCCACAGGCTGGGTACAGTAGTCCACACCTGTAGTCCTAGCTGCTAGAGAGGCTAAGACAATAGTCTGAGCTGGGGAGTTCGAGTCCAGTCTGGGCAACACAGCAAGACACTGTCTCTAATTCAAAAAGAAAAAAAAATATTAAGGATTCCAATTCAAATGAAAGAGCTGTATCATATATTCATCGCTATTATTCTCCCTAAAATAACAAAGTATACAGCTCATCATTTTTTAAAGTAATAAAATCAATAGCAATTAGTAAAAAACAGGTGCTATTTAATTTATCTGTTCTTTATTTCAAACTGTTTTTCTATTAACTTCATTTGTCTATTAATTATCTGCAATTATGTAGACATTTTAATCACTTTACCTCTTTTTCATTTTATTACTATAAATTACTTCTTACAGAACTTATAACAATAATCCTACCAAGACCTCCAATTGGAAAACCTGAAATCTCATCTGGTGAACTACAAGTACACTTTTGCATGTAATCAGAAGAAAGAAAGAAAATAAAAAAGACAGAAAAAACAATAAGTAAAATAATACAAGAGAATAAAGAAGAAACAGTTTTTACAAAGTAAGAAGGAGATGAGGGAAGAGATAGAAAAAAGAAGAAGAAAATTTAATATTAGAGAAAATCTAGCAAGTCACAGTAGTAAGAGTTCATTTGCATTAGGATTTAAAAAAGAAAGCTAAAAAATGTTAAATGGGTAGGCAAATGGGAGTCAATGCAGATTAACCTATTAAAAAATTAATTTGAACAAATTCGTATTTATTTAAATAACACCTAGAAATATGTAGTTATGTCAGATTAATAATTCTAATATTTTAAATGTATGTAACACTTAAATGTAATAGCTTAAAATATAATTAACTATTATAATATTTATACATATCTGTTTTCCTAATTGCTTATCAATATATAATGGTGTATCTTACATTGTAAAGTCAGTCTTGTTTTTCCCCCTCCTTCCTTCCTCTCTTTCTCTTTTCTCTCTTCCTTTTTTTTTCATCTTTTTCTCTGTCTTCTTTCTTTCCTTTATCCACTCTTATTTATTCTCCCCTACTAAAGAGGAACATAGAAATCACAATCAGACCCACAGAAACTGCGTAGCATAGGGTCATCAAATAAGGAAGACATTTACTTATTCGCCCCTTCAAGGTAGCTTCTATTTGTATCTCATAAATGCAAATTTAATTATCTATATTATAGAATAAATTAGCAAATTATAAACTTTCCAAGCATTAGCACAGGCATATAGATATTTCCTTGGGTATTAAAACATCCTGGATTTTACTTCATGCAGGGAATTCTGAATCATTTCCTGGGCTGAGATAGACGTTTTCTCACATTTCTTTATAATCCAGGTTTATTTATGATCACGAAAAATTGATGCATTATTAGTCACTGCCAAGCTTCATTCACCCAACTGTATGATAAAAAAAAAGAGTCAAGCTTTGCCTATGACATTTTGTACTGCACCAGCCTTACACTTTGCTCCAGGTATACACAATAGAATAGACATTATTTTTTCCTTTCCTCAGGCAGTATATTTCATGAAAAATTCATTTCTTCCATCTCCCACCTCTAAGTAACTCTGTAGGAAAGGTGGACAAAAGGACCTGACCTTTAGTCCATTTGAATGACTAGTCCTGAACTGTTGGATTGCTGTTTTCTGCTTTCGCTGTGAGTGTCATACTTCTTATCCTGACTCTTGCATACAAATTTAGCTGCTATCTCCTGTTGTGTTTCACTCATACCAATTAGGTTCTCCACACAGACCTCAGTCAGTGGCTATTTTTGAAGTAGGTTGAGTTCAAAGTTCCTCAAAAGACTAGATTATAAATGTGTCAGTTTTTCTAACTCCTTATATGGAAGCATGAATTGAGCAAAATACAATTGTTCTTAAACATAAAAAGAAATGCAATAAGCCAGGAAATTTAAAGTTAGGAAATTATCATCATACTGCATTATCATGTGTCTAACAATGATTAAAGTTATGAGTTCAGGAATGGCTAACAATGCAATGGCTCAGTACACAGACCAAAAATTAAAGAAACGAAGAAATGTCGATAAACATAAAAATAGTAGCATGTTATTTGTAAATAAAATCAAATAGATACAAAACAGTATTAATATAAACATAATACCTACTCAGCCTTTCCTATACCTTCCTTGGCATTTTTGGGTGACTGTCAGAAAACACAGATGTTTATAACTGTGCCAATTTTAAAAAAATGTATCTAGGAAAAAAATGGACTTAATTCCATTCATCAACAATTATTGACATGAAAGTTCAGAGGCATAAATATTTAAGAAAATATTTTCAAATTCTTAGAAAGCTGTAGTAAGATACCTGGGGAAGGGGGTAAAAATAGAGACAAACAGTAGCTATTAAAATTCAATGTAAATGGGAAAACACTTTTATTCTGTGTTTTACAGCCCTTCTCATAAAATAATTTGAGACTGGTTGATAATATTTAACCTGAAATAACTACCCTTAGCAGTCTTTTATTTATTTATTTTTATTAAAACTTGCTGTTTCATTATTACAAAACATGAAGACAGCAGACATTTCACTTTGTTTTAAAATTCTTATTTTAACATTAAAGTGTAGAATTAGTAGTATTATCATTCATGGATTTTTCCATCTGTCCAAAGAGCTACACCTTTAGGTTTTTTGATATGAACATCAGAAAACAAGGTGACCTGATCTTTCATTTCATTTATATGAATTATATAAACTTTGAGAAATATACTTTGTGCCTAAGATTTTCCATGACTTAGATGTGAATAAAAATAGAGAGATTCAACTGTCACCTCTTTGCTTATAGATAAATCCAAGTGCATTAACATGGCTCACTAGGCCCATTATGACCTAGCATCAATTGATCTAACCTGTTTCTTTAACTTCCACTCTCACTTCCTGCCTGTATGCCTCAAATACAAAATTCTCACAAAGCAATATTCCCATTCCTTACAAAAGAACTGTACATTTTTCTCCTTTAAGAGAAAGGCCATTTGATCTCACCTTGGACTCCATTTTGACAAGGCATTCTCCCTCTCTCCAAATACAGATTTTTGTTCCTTCTTTTTTTGGTTCCCATGGCTTTCTGCATTTAAACTATAGTTGTTCTTCATTATCACCTCTACCAGAAAGTTTAAATTGTATTTTTTTTTGTCTCCAGTGAAATTTAGCATAGCTCTTAGACCATATTTTTCTGGTTTATTTCCCGTTATCCTATTTCTGCCTTTCCTGTCTGGATGGCTTCCTATACCCATAGCACTCTATTTTGACCCTGACATGATTTAGCTCCACCTCTTTTCAAACTATCTACATTCTCTGTGTTCTCTTTAAAGCCACCTGCTGGGTTTAACCTGTTTCCCCTACTTTTTATACTCCATGACTTGTTTAGAATTCTAAATTGCCAGTAAATAACACTGGTTAAAATAGTCTAATAAATTTAAAAAAAGAAACCGATAGAGTTGTGATGTTAGAAGGGAATCTCAAATGCTCAGAATCAGAAACAAAATCCAGAAATGAGGAAGTACAGAGAGTGATTAAAGTGAAAGAGTATGAAGCATTTTCTTTACCAAGCATGTCTGCATCTATCTTTGATCAAATAATCATATGAGAGAAAGAAATTCCATATAGAAGGCATGTAAGTATTATGCAGGCTAACTTGTCCATTGTCCGAGTTGTGATTTGAATACTAATCAATAGGCCCCAGAGTCCATGCTGCTCTCATGAAGAATGATAGGGAGAGACTGATTTTTGTAAATTAAAATGAAACCATTTAAATTAGAAACTATGTTGTTAAGATTGAATAGGTGATAAATACATGAAAGCCGCATGCATGGATTATGGATTATCATATGGAAGAGTTCAATGATAAAAAAGATGATGACATAAAGATAGTAAAGTTGAATGATACTCCATTTTTTTGCACATAAAGATAAAAGGTCAAGGTAGAGGTAAAATTGAATATGGGACAATGCAAAATATTGAAAAAGCAAGAAAGTGGAAAGAAAGAAAGAGAGAAATAGAGTAAAGGGAAGGCAGAAAAATGAAAGCTTTGGATGGGCTTTCATTTTGAAAAGACTTACATGAAACTCATGAAGCCAGAAAAAGGAAACCAGATGAAAGAAGCCACTAAGCAATTTAGAAATAGGTAAGAATTAATGATGTTCTTTTTCTATATGTAACTAATGAGGTCTGCATTGGGAGAAGGATTAAGAAGGAATTTAGGAGGCTGAAAAATTGTAAAAGTTTGGGAACATAATCATAGGTCATGACAAATTTCATAGACAGAAAACACTTTTAAATTTTGTTTATTTATCACTTCTCAAACCTCTTTGGCCATGGATTTCTTATAAATTATTTTCTATTTCTTCATTTTCTCTTTCTCACTCTTTCTCTCTCTTCTCTGTACATTTTCTTTATTTTTTTCTCCCTCTCTCCTTCCAAAAATCAGTAGTTCATGAAATCTATTATGAGCAATACTGGCATTTTATATCAAAGTTATATTTTTATATATAATGAATTATAAAGCATTTTCTGAGCTCTAGAACAGTTTGAAAAATGTTGAACTTATCCTCTTATTGAATATTTCATAGTACTCACCTTTTTTTTTTCCCATTTATTTATTTTCTTGCATTTTAGGTTTTGGGGTACATGTGAAGAACATGCAAAATTGTTGCATAGGAACACACGTGGCAGTGTGATTTGCTGCCTTCCTCCCCATCACCTACATCTGGCATTTCTCCCCTTGCTATCTCTCCCCAGCTTCCCACCCAGTACTCACCTTTAAGAATATCTGAACTAATGACCTTGTGAACAGAGCCTTAAAACATGGATTCTACACATGATACTGGGAAGGATTTTGCTTCCTTAGTTTAGGCTAATGAGCTAAAATCTACACAGAAAATTTTTTCTAACCCCTTTTTATATGACCAGCCCAATAACTTATGTTCCAACCTCACCAAAGACCCCATTGGAGGGTCTCAAATTTTTATGAGCTTTACAATTTATTTTTACTCTTTGGTCTATCAGTACTGATTATTGTGTTTTGGTAAAGTATTTTTTCTAAAAAATCATCCTCAGCCTACACTTTACAATTAATTGGCTTATAGCTGAATATTGTAATGTGCTTCCAAAAAGTTTTCTTCTACCTTAGTTTCAAAGTCATTTTTGCATTTGTTAAAATAAAATGAACAAAAGTCTTTAAAATTCTCTGAACTAAAAAAAAAGTAGGTCATGCAATAAAGCTTACCTTAGGTTATTTTGTGTGAATACCCCTAATAACAAGCAATGAAACTTAAGTTGCCTTCCGAAAGTGGTATGCAATGCTTATTTGCAACCAATCATCCTCTGCCATCTGAAAGCCACCACTGTGGTAACCAATCATTGCAAATGTTAAACTCTTCACTGTGTTTTATAAGCCAGCTTACAACATCATACCTCTGGGCTTCCTCCTACCAGTTTTGGTTTGATATATCTTGGTTCCAAAGTAGACTTTTGTGTGTGCATAATCAAACTTTACACTTTTTAACTTGATCTGATTTTATTTTTGACATTTCTGAATATTGCAACTTCACTATTTTTTAATTATTCTTTAAAATTTTATTTGTATTTTTAATTTTAAAAGGTACATAGTAGGTGCACATATTTATGGGTTACATGATATATTTTGATACAGGTATGCAATGTGTAATAATCACATCGGGGTAAATGACGTTTCGATTGCCTCAAGTATTTATCATTTATGTTACAAACAATCCAATTATACTCTTTCATTCATTTTAAAATTTACAATTGAAAAAGTTAGAAAGAATGAATGAAACCCATTATTTGCTAGTATAACAGGCTAACTATATTTTTTCTTGAATCAGATGTAGAATATTTAAAAATTCACTCATTTGCAATAACTAACACTTTGTTTTATGCAACAATACTATTTATTCTTAAAGTTTTAATTTCTAATTACTTTAATAATTAGCAATAGATTACTAATATTGTTATTCTAATAACTTTGTTTTATTTTTGTAATTAGTTCACTAAGCTTCAAATTTATTGATATAGTAAGGTATGTTTAAGAACTATATTGTACAGTGGTTTTGACCACACATTACAACATTTGAAATACTCTTAATTATTTAAGCCTCTCTTGCGTCATTTAATTTTCACAGGAAACAAAAATTTTTATTCAGTCTCTAAGATATTTGAGTGATTGTAGTTGTAAGGTTTATCACCAAGGCAAAATGAGGAAACTGAGGCAGGTATAAGAAAATGAGAAGCCAATTTATTTAGCTTCTGGGTGAGGCTCTTTGGTCCAGGAAAGGGGCCAGAGAAGTCACCCCCAGCTGTTCAGAGCATGGGGTTTTACAAGAAGTGGAGGCAGATGATTAGCTATTGGGAAACAAAGCGAAGGCAATTTCATTGGCTATAGGGAAACAGGATATGCATGGGGTGAGCTGTCCTTAGCAGGCGGGTGGGATTTTGGGTAATTGGCTGTTGGTGAAACAAAGCGAAGGCAATTTCATTGGCTATAGGGAAACAGCATGTGGACTGGGCTTCTTTAAATTTTTTTTAAAGAAATTAAATTGAGTGCATTGTTTGGTGCTGAGTGTGGGCTTGAATATAGTATTCAGAGGCGGGTGCAGGGAAGCCATGTGGCAAGGGCAGATAATG